TCGTTTCGGTTTACTTGGAATTTAATTCATTAAAAATGACATAATTGAATAATGGAATGAGACAAAAGCAATAAATATTTTCGGAAAATTTAAATCTTTCAATTTACTTTTTTAATTTGTTGACATAATTCAAAAAATTTTAGAGAAATATAAATTTTAGAAATATAATTTTTTTTTGCATTTATATAAGAAATTGAATTTGAAATTTTGGAAAATCACAAACATTCTCTAACTTAAATAGATGAACAAGTTCAAAAACTAGAGACAGAGTTGCAATTTTAAAATTTGAAAAACATAATATGAAGTAATTACACATTTAAGTTGCTTATTTCATATTCATTTTTAACATGCCTTAGCAAAAAAAAGCACATCTAATTGTGAAATAAACAATATTTTGAAATAACATTTGAAACAACAAAATGATTGATGATGTGAATTTTGACAAAATCTTTGTGCACATATTTCTCTAACCATTTTGCTAAAGTAATGTAGCAAACTTTAAAAATATTAAATGCTTAGAGATCTTGGGAAATTTTTCCAAACAAATAAGTGGCAATATTAAATTATGTTTCGGTTCAGAAACAATTATTATCTTTTTGATAAATTAATGATCTAATTATTAATGTTGACAATAACAATAATAATAATTCACATAGATATTACCAGTTAATTAAAAAAATGATGGGGTAAAAAAAAATTCATCAAATTATATTTTAAGTTCTTTGATTTATCCACTCCTAAAAATGTTCTCTAGAAAAATAAGTAAGTATTGAAATCTTTACATTCATAAATTTTATTATTTATCTTTGGTACTTCTTTTAAACATAAATGTTATACAGTCTTTCAATAAGCAGTTCCATATTTATGTTTAGCTTTTAGATTATAAAAATAATATGTGATGAGGAGTAGATTTAAAATAATTCTTATATTTAATTTCGAAATGAATCTTAAAGGTATGATGATAAGTGATAATATTAATGACAGATAAATTTAATTAGAAACAAGTTGTATGACATATTTGATGATAATTGAAAAAGTTTTGTAAAAATTATGAAATGCTTGAATTTTAAATGAATTAATTGCCTGTTCATCATTACTGATTAACAAAAAGTAAATTATGGAAATTATTGATCTGACATAATTATGCCAAAAATTTTTTTATTCCAATATTTGTGGTTATTGAATTGAATTTGAAAAGATGAAAGTTCATTCCACGCAATTTTATGCAACAATCGATAATAATTACCACAGTGATTGGATGATGAAAAGAAAAGCTCCAAAACATTTTTTTTTCTTTTTTTAATCAAAAGTTTAGCTATTTGAAGATATTTAAACTTTCAACAGTTATGATTAGAACCTATGAAATTTCGATTTAATCTACTGCACTCATATTAATCGATTATCATTTCATATAGTATTAAACAGATTGCACTCAAAACAATACAAAATGCAAAATGCTTTTATTCCAAAGTTTATTTGAATTCTCGCATAAAATAATATCCATTGTATATGTAAATAAAAAAGCTTATTTTTTGTTTACAAAGAAATATATGAATTCGTTTTCATTAATTGGTTTGATTATTAGCAATATATTTGAGCCTAAATGCAATCACATAATTACTTTAGCATTAATTGAGTACATTTAATCATTGATTTTTGCTCACAATATAATTTATATTAAATGCTATGACATAGAAATAAGAGTAAAAACAAAAAGTTATGAAAATAAAGCATATATATATACACAATATAAGAATAGATTTATAAATTCTCAAAATATCACTTTGAAGAAAACGAGAAATCTTAGATATTTTGTTAAAGTAAGCAATATCCAAAGGAATAGAAGATGAGTAATTGTTTCAGGAATGTAAAAAATAAATGATAAATAGTGAAAGAATGAAAGAATGCGAATAACAAATAATTTAAAAGAAAAGACAAACAATAGAAATTTTAAAAAAAAAAAGAAAATTTTTTTTTTAACTCTTCATTTGATTTTATTTAATTAAAATCTAACGAATGATATATCGATCTATTGATCTAATGCATGTTATGATATATAACATTGTCAAATGTTGCAACATTTTATTTCTAACAGCTGTTATCTCTCTCTCTCTCTCTCTCTCTGTTTGGTTTCAAAAACTTCATTAGCTTGAGGTAATTTCTTCAAATAATTAATCATAACTTTTAACGTCTAACTTCTGTTCTTTTTTTTTTTTAACTCAGATGTATGATTAAACAATTTTAAAATATCGTTTTCACTTATTTGCATCAGAAAAAGAAAAAACAAGAAAAAAGGAGAAAGAATGAGAGAGAAAATAAAAATTTAACAATCTTTTACATTATCAATTAACGATTTTATATTATTAATTAAAATTTTTATTTATTTATTTTTGTCTTTCTTTTCTTTTTTACTTCTATCATATGGATAATATTTTAAAATTAATTAATTTAGAAATTAAAAATTTGTAAAGTTTAAATGCTTACTGTGGAATTATTTTTGAAGGAATTATCATAAGTTAATAAAAGTTTCAAGATACTTCTTAGATAAACAATGGAGAAAATTAGCTTCAACTTGTTGAAAAACAAATTTTATTGTTATTTGTTTTACGTAAACTTCTATCACTTATTTTTTCTTTTTTATTTGTTTTTTGTTTTTTTTTTTTTTTAATCTTTACTTTTTGAAGTTAAATAGATATATTGATGATAAATTATTAGTGTAATACGCGAAATGAAATGATTAATAATTTCAAAATGAAGAATAATATTTTTTTTAAAAAAAAAGATAAGCAATTAAAGAAATTCTTCCTTATCACAACATCCATTAGAATTCCTTGTTTTTTTGAAAATTAGATTTTTTTCAATGAAACATTTATCACAATAGTATATCACTAGAATCATAAAACTACTGTATGATTAAAATTTAAATTAAAATGATGATTAAAATTTAAATTAAACAAATTTGCCATACATCATTCTATAATGTAGTACTAAAATTTCAATTGTTTATTTATTCATTGTAATCTTTTTTTCTTTTTTTTTTAACACCTACATTAGGGATAATTTATTTCACCATTTTCACATTCGAAATATATATTAATAAAATTATCTATGATAAAAAAATTTTTGATTTTGAATTTTGACTTAACTTTTTCAAAAACAAATGAAAATGTTGCGGCAAAACTTTTAAATATCGAAAGAATAGCTGTATCTTTTTATCAAAGAGAATGAGAATCCATATTAAATGTACTCTATCTAACATTTGTACTATTAATTAATATACCATTCATTAATTTAGCAAAATATGCATCAGTTCCCCAACAAATCCAAATGAATTCTCAAAATATTTATTACGACGAATCAAAGTATTTAATTATAGATGAATTCCATTCAATTATATTAGTATATCACAAATAAATAAGTAAATGAATATGAATCATTTATTTTCTTCTACTGCTATTCCATTTAGGCACAAATATTTTGATGCAAATTGATTTATAACAAAGAAAAGATTGGAAATCTACAAGCAAGCATGAATAGAAGACCTCACTTACTGTTATATTCCCCGTAATTAGATTCCAGTCTTAAATAAGTGATATGATAAGATATCAGTAGCTAATGATGAATTTACTACATCCCTCGTCCGTGCTCTGAACATGGGGCTATTATTGATGATACGTATGAAATCTGAAGCTAAGAGGAAGCATTTCTGCTTTCGAATCAATTCAAATCAGATGACAAAGAGTGCTTCCCGCTGTGTCACTATGCCATGTCAACGGTGGATTACAGGTGAGCTACGGTGTATACTGTTATTCACACATTAATTAACTTCTTTATTTACATTTAAAATTTACCAAATAACAATAAAGATTTGACGGAAGAGAGGAGAAGATGGTAAGTAAGCTAAACGAAAAAATGACAAAAAATCTCGATGATGTCACAAAGTAATTAGAAAACGAATTCTCGCCATTGTTTTAAATAATTGTCTAGAAAAAGCTAAGAATAAAAAGAGATATTTTTCAGTTTCTCATATTTAATTATCGTAAAAAGTTTGTTTTTTTTTTTTTTTTTTTTTGCTATTGAAGGAAAATAAAACTCATACAATAAATGAAAAATATTTTAAATAACAGAGAAACGAGAAACTATGAAATCATTTCCTTTTTCCTCTTTGCTCTTTTATCTTATGTTAATAGTTGAAATAATATCAATTAAATGATTCATTTTTTCATTCATTTTACGATAACATTTTTCCACAATGAAAATATGAAATTAATTGTAGACAAAAGTGAAAAAGGAAAAATGAAAAATAAAATTTAATCTATTTATGATAATGTATTTTGTAAAATATTAATACAGTAGCTAAAATTATGACGTAAACATGTGAAGTAATTTTTCCAATTATTTTTATGATGGCCATTTTAACAAAAAAAATAATTATTATCATTAATGTTATATTGTTTCATTAATGAATTTATTTATCAAATAAGATGAAGCAAATTATCACTATTGTTCTATCAATTATTTGGAATAAAAAATAAGAAAATATTAATTACTTTAAATTTCTCGCTTAAACTCATCATTTTTATTGTAAATTTCCAAATAATAATAATTCCAGTGCTTTTTTTTTTAACTAAATTAAACATTTATCTGAAACGTTCCATTTCACAATCGTTCAGATAACGCTGACTGTGTAAAAATTTGTCGTTCGAATTTTTGTTTTTTTTGTACTTGTTTTTTTTTTTTTTTTTTTTTTTTCGTTGCTAAGTAATCTATTCGTGAATGGGTGGAATTTGGAGCAGTAAAACAGGTTTATTGTTGATTATTCTTTTTGTTGTCATTTACAATGAGTATTTGACATATTACATAACAATCTATACGACATGTTCGTGGCCTATTATATCAACAACAGAAGAAGGACGTAAAAAAGAGACACGAGTGATTATATTGACCGATATCCATCTCTTATTATCCAGTCAAAATGAACATTGGTTCGACAAGATAAGATGGCTCGTTCATTTTTCACTTTTTCTTTCTCTTCTTTTTTCATTTTTGTTTTTACTCTTTTTTTTCTTTCAAAATTAAGATTTAAAAATGATTATTTGGAAATAAAGATAATTTTATCATGTTTGGTTTTTTTCTTCTTTTTTTTTGAGCTTATAAAATTGCATTTTAAAAATAATTCGATAAACATTTTTGTGCTAAAAGGTAAAATGTCAAAAATATGTGAATGTCAAAAGGAAAAGTTACATGAATGAAATTTTATACTATTAGAATTTTTTTACTGTATATGGTGAATAAATCATTTAGTCCTAACGAATGAATGTTAAATTCTTATGATTAGCAAGAGAATATGGAAAATGAAAAATGATGGATGAAAAGTAATAAAATTGATCAAACAAATAAAAATCGATTATATTCTATAAAAATAAGCAGCATGAAGTGATAGGTTCAAGTTAGAAATGTCATGAAATTTACTACTGTGTATTTGAAAATGTTAAAAGAGTAGGTAGTAAATTCACCTTTATTGCTTCATCTTGTTCATATGGCGCTATATTTCTCACAACAAATTCTCCTTTCATACGTTTTTATATGTTTTAGGAAAGACTAATCGAATATTAGTGAATAGCAACTTGAATTTTTACTTTCAGGGAATGGCAAATGTACCGGTCGTTTCAGTCAGCCGTATCATTGACCCGTCCACATGCCGTTTTCTTTTTAGATTTGTTTAACATTTTGTTTAACTCTGAATATTTATATATTCGAATTATAGATTAAGAGTTCAAAAAGTTCACTGAAACAATAAAAATGATACAATTAGAAACGAGCATTCGAAGCATATATTAACTCGTTTTTTTCTATTTTAGAATTTATTTATTTCACACAGGTGAAATTGTATTAAACAAATAGTTTAAAGAAATGACAACGTTGATTGTAAGCATACTGGTAGACTTGCTTTCTTTTTTTTTTTTTTGTTTCTAACTAAATTGTAGTCAGTTCATTTTCATCGGTAGTAAAAAAAAATAGAAATTTTTGCAGTGGTCTTGGGAGGAATATGCATAGTTTCAGGTGATTTATTTGATGGTAGTACTATAAGTAGTCAACAGGATCTTATAAATTATGCAAATCATTTCAATGAACTTTTTTATGTACCCAAAAACGTTGAAAGACATTGTATTGTGGGCAATCATGATATTATATCCCATCAGTAAGCTTTATTTTCGAATTTTCATTGTGATTCGTTTATATAAATATTTTAAAGTTAATATAGATTGAAGGCAACTGATTTTTCTTGTAAATTACATGTGGATTCACTCAATCGAATTTCTTGAGTTTTTTTTTTTTTTTTTATTTTCGTATTTAGTATATAGAATTCTATTTAGATTGCAATCATAAAAACAGATCAGAAGATAATGGAAGCCAAAAAAAAAAAAAGAAAACAGAAGAATTATATTTTACTAGTTTGATGTTGATAATAAAATCACCAAGTTATGTCGAAATGAATTTGAGCAATGGTTCTGTCGGAGGTCAATTTGTGCAGTGTTTGATTTAGGGAAAAAACTTTATTTTAGAAATTTCAAAAGTTTCGTTTAAGTAAAATCAATCCAGTACGTTTGCAATTTTTCTCGCAACATTTTTCACGCTCACTTGTTGATCACATCGTTATTGGTGGAAATCATTTCGTATTGTTGAATTCCATGACAATTGATTGTGGTGATTGTTTGCTTCGGAACGTTACCAAAGATCAAGTTGAGCAGCTGAGTCAAGTATTTAATTGTAATAGAAATCTAAAAGCACCATGTAATATTCATTCAAGACCGATCTTATTGCTTCATGTCCCATTGTACAGGTAGTTTTTTCTAAAATTTCTTAAAATCACTATGTCTAATTTAATCGAGTGATACTACCAACATATCTGTTTTAAATAGATACTTTTATATTTTTTTGGTTCTTCCCATATCATTCACATTCAGCTTACTAAATAAATTTCTAATACTCTTAAGAAGCTAATAGTCTAGTTTCTAAATAATTTAGACTTTAGTATAATTTGTGAATTTCAGAGATAGTGATTCGAAATGTGCCAATGACTATGATGTAGCGCCAGAACCAAGAAAATCAGAGCGTTTTCGTGCTGGATTTCATTGCCTTTCCAATGTGTCGTCTCATTACATTCTGAAAAAACTGAAACCTCGTGCTATCTTTGATGGTCATTTGCATTACAGTTGTCGAACATGGTGAATTATATTTTTTAAAATTTAACTCTAACCAAATCCTTAATTACACTATTATCTCACCATAAAAGGGTAGTTACATACGTAGCAATCTTGTAGGTTGCATATTTGGTTTTAGTTTAAAACAATTTATGATCTCATTAAAATATACATGATTTGCACACATGAAGTTTATTTCTCCAATTTTTTTGAAGGAAAATATTACTTTCTACTGTTACCTATATCTTCAGAAATAGCGCCTTCAAAAGATTAGTGCAATTAGTGCAATGTTTCAGGTGGCCATCACCGTATAATGTATATGAATGGACATTATCGTCATTTTCATGGCGAAATATTCCACAACCTGCATTTCTTCTTGTCACTGTAACCCCTGACGATATTCAGGTCAATAAATGCTTGCTACCAAATAAGAAGACGATTATAGCCAGCTATGTTATAATTGCCCTAGGCTTATTATTTTTTTTGTCCTATCGTTTAGTTTTTTCTCTTTTATGGCATCGGAAACTATGTTGCTCATGTCAATTTGTAACTCGAAAATGGGCTTAAATAGCCATTTCCAAGTTTTAAGTTTTCCTTCGTTCTATCAGAATTTTGAAGTTCGAAGATTTAGAGCATTTAGCGACGATTTCATCGTTTCCTGTGTATAATCTCGTTGATGTGATTAGTAGTGAAATTTTAATCAAGAATTTAATTTTAATGTATAACTTTCAGGTTAGTAGTCTATATTTCTGAATTGTTGCTATGTCATGCTAGTTTTCAAAGTCCCAATTAAAAGTGGCATTTGCACATCATATCGCTGTAACAGTGCCCACATTTTCAAATGGAATTCAAATTAAGCACAGAGTGGTCGTTGCACCTCGGCGGTTTTGTCCAACTTGCACCATAGCTTTAAATGACGCAAAAGGGTGAACGGAATTAACGACGGTGCATGTGTTTATACGGTGGGAAAATGAAAGAAGAGAATTTTGAAGGGGAAATCATTAACCAATTTAACCGGTGAACCAGAATGGGGCATAGCATGTGATCACATTGTCGGTTTCAGAAGAATGAGAAAGTGAATTAGCTTCTGTATCTGTTGAAAAAGGTCATCAACGATTTCTCGAATCAGTTATCAATTAAATCTCGACACACTTTTTTTTTTTCACATTGCTAATTTTGTATTGTTCACATCTGTCATGATATATATAGTGTAGCAACTGCAATATACTTTTTTATTCGATAAAATTATAATATTATTTTTATCTCTGGTGCACGCGTGTGCACGTGACCTGAATATTAAACTTGAATGTTTAGTGTTACGAAAAAGTTACGCCAATTCTCCTCCTTTCATAAACATGAAATATGCCAAAAATGCGAAATTAATTGTCATAAGCATTAGTAGAATAGTGATTAGAATGACTGACGATGTAATATTTTTAAATTAAAGTGTAAGGGTTAAAAGCTATAAAGCAGTTTCTTACTTCAAGCAGTAAATATTTACAAGTTATATCATTCTCGATATTTCTCAAAATCTGTTTGAAACTGTTCAGTACTGGATTTTGATAAAATATAATTGAAATCAATTTGCCACACAAAGATATTATCTAAAGATCTTACAAATTCAAAAGATTTTAAGAACAATTCAAATAAAACTCAAAAAGTAGTATTTTTAGGTAGCATCGTTGTGCGACATTTGTGATCCTACTCATTCTTTAAAACTGCTACTACTTTTAATTATGTAACTAACATGATAATTTCACACAAATAAAAGTTATCTATTTCGTAAGAAAAGAAAGGAGTTACTTTAATAGGTCTTCCTTTAATTTTATTAAAATAAAATTATCCTTTAGGGCAAAAAATGTATCGGATCTCGTCACATTACTGTACACATAAATATTCTGCTTAGTATTATCGATTAAATATAAAGATTCGAAATCTTGAATTTATCATTCTGCAAAATTACTGCAGCGTTTATTTTGATGATATGCACCTTGCATAGATTATGTTTGAAGACAGTCTTTAGATGTAATAATTTTTGAATTATTTTGATAACATTCTTTGAATATCCTAAAATATTCATGGAAAATTTGAGAGATATTGCGAGAAAGCTTACTGGCATGCAAATCTTGCAACAAAACTATTGAATTCAATGTTGAAAATAAGAATTTAGGAACATATAAGAAAATAAATCTATCAGTTCGGTGAAAAAAGAACAATCAATTAATTAACTAGACATAAGCATCATTACCTAGAATTAATCCAACACCAAATTATCACACCGTGAGCTGAATAAGTCCACTGTTCTAAACTCTGAAATTATCATTTCTACAGAAAATTCCTATTAATATCAAGAATAATTTAAACCTAAAATTAAATCTTGTTTTTAATATGAAAAGAGTGAATGAACGAATAACTTTCATTGATTCTCAGATTGACTTTGCACTCTCTTTCTTCTTGCTTAATGATTATACACTATCAGATAAAGTGATCCATTGACATACCATTAGAGATAGTTATCTACGTGTATCTTATAGAGTATATTATGGAAGCTTAAAGATTGTTCGTTGCTGGGAAGTAAGTAACTTACTGATCAAAGGGATATATATTAATGCTCATAGTATTAATATTAATGATACTTCATGGCAGACAGAGTCTTTCATTTTAATGTCTTATGTGTTATGATAGCTTCATATTTTCTTCTTGCAAGGACATTAAATATGTTAGAATAATAAGAAAGCATGTAGAAGTTAAAAAAAAAATCAGGGAGGGATAAAAGTTAATTTTGATGATACACTAAGTAACTTAAATAACTTAGGTAATTAGCAAAAAAAAGCATGCATAAATTAAGACGAGTAAAAAATCAACAACAAACAGAAAAATCAAATAGTATGTAAAATCAACAACAAACAGAAAAATCAAATAGTATGTAAAATCAACAACAAACAGAAAAATCAAATAGTATGTAAAATCAACAACAAACAGAAAAATCAAATAGTATGTAAAAGTTAGGATTGAAAAAACGCTGAAATAAAAACCAACTGATTAAAAACACCGAACAAAATTAACAAAAGAGCATGCCAGAATTGACAAAAATGTATGCCTTTGCAAAAGATTAACGCTGAAACAAAAGTTAAATAAAAATAGAAATAATTATAAAAATGCAAAACAGCATGCAAAAGTTCATTAAATGCAAAATAAGCATAAAACAACACGTAAAAGACAAGTATTAGCAAAAAATAAGCAAAAGATAGGCAATAACAAAACAGCATGCAAAATCAAGTTTTTTTTTTAATGCAACAGTCAAGTAACAAGAAAAAAAATTAAAACAGCATGAAAAGTTAAGTAATAAAAAAATAACATGCAAAAAATCAAGTGATGACAAGATAGTATGAAAAAATTAGATAATTACAAAATCATGCGCAAAAAAAATCAAAAAAATGCATGCAAAAGATAAGTAATGATAAAATAGCATGCAAAAGATAAGTAAAACAAAACAGCATGTAAAGAAATAACAAAATGACATGCGAAAGATGAGTAGCAACAAAAAACAAAGAAAGTTTAAATGATATGAAAATGGCATGCAAAATTGATGCAAATGATAATTAATTAAAAAATAAAATGCAAAAGTTAAGAAACCAAAATAGCAGACGAAGTTGGGCCAAATAAGGGGGATTAAGATAAAGGTTAAAGAACGCTGTAATAGAATGGTGAAATAAGGTGATATATAAAAGTTAATATGAATAAACACGTTAAAATAAAAATTAATTACTTGGAAACAATGTATTGCTAATAAATAAAAAACGATATGTAAATAATATTAACAAAATTGCTGCAAAAGTTAGAATAATGAAAAAACGCTGAAATTGTAGTTAATTAATTAAAGTAAAGACAATTCAGAGTAACAAAATAAGCTGAGAAATTTGAGGTGAATAAGGAACGCTGTAGAGGAAGTTGAGAAAAGCTAGAAAATGTGGAAGATGGTGAATTAATGAAAAACGCCAGGTGAATCAGAATAGCAAAGAGTACAACGTGAAGTTTGAGAAGTTAAAAGGAATAGCATAACTTATATTTATGTGGGGATACAAAGAAGGAATTGGAAAGATGAAAACCATAAATAAAATTCTATTAAAAATGCATATTACAGGTATGATTAATTGATGAAAAGGTATGTGCAATAAACAAATTTGCAAGAAATGGAAGAAATATATAATTATTTAACACTAATAATTTTTAAATCATAAATACCAGAAAATACAAATTATTAAAATATGAGGAAAACGACATCACAGTATGAAAGACTGAAATTAAACATTAGACGAATTATTTAATAGAATATGAAGAAGTTCATTTAAAATTAAAAAATGACAGTGCGTATATATTTTAATACTTTTAATGTTGCTGAAAATAAAAGTCGTAAAATAAGGAAAAAACAGAATAAATGCTTTCGCTTACAATTCTAACAAAATATTGAAATAAAAGAAATTAATAAATTGCTGACTAATTAAACAAACAAAATAATTTACATGAAATTGTCTTTTGCGATTTAATCGCATTATAAATTGATGCTTCAATTTTTAATTAAATTATAAACTGATTAAAAAGCTAAAAGAAAGTCGATAAATGAATTGTTTACTGCAAAATAAAATAGCTAACCTAAAATAAAAGATAGCTAATTTAAAGTATAGACCGTAGTGTTGAAAAAAACATTTTTAATTGCTTACAAGGAAATAAAAAGTGTAATTTGCATATTAAATTAACGAATTATAATAGCATCTGTTAGATGAGAAATCACACAAAATGTAGCGGAAAATTACCATTTCATTAAAATAGCGACACAAAAAGGAAAGGCGCACAACAATTAATAAATGTTAATTGGTGCAACAGGTGAAGAACAATAACCTTTGCAAACAATAACTCGAAGCCATTAAAATATTAGTCAAAATTTTTCTTAGGTCTGAATAACGCTAATATTAATCTAAATAAAAAAAAAATTACTTATACGTGAGTATCGAAATAAAGTTAATCACACTTAAAAAGATAATATAATCAAAAAAGAAAAAAATCACTCCCATAATAATAGTAAAAATATGGACGGAAAAAAAAAAACAATCAGTGGGAAAGTAAACAAATTTTAATCAAAATACCTAAATTTCAAATCTGTGTCTTGCAACTTTTCAAATTGGATTTGCTCGCATAGTTGATAATTGAAATAAATCAAAAAAAAATTTGGAAATGAGATCAAGAGTGAAGAAAAGATTTTTTCAACAATGTAAAAATTGGCAACGGGTGAAGGAAATAATTCTTTGTGATGAAAACTTGACACAAAACCTAAAACTTAAGTTGTATTAATATAAATTTAAGTATTTGAATAATTAAATGATAAAGCTAAGCATTTGGATAAAAAAACAGAAATGACAGTAGGTAAAACTACTGCTATACAGACTTGGAGCCAAAATGATTCAGCAAATGACGGAAAATGAAGTTAGTAAAATAAACATAAATAATTCGTATATCTGCTAATTAAAAACGCTTAATTGAATAATAACAAAATATAAAAACAGCAATCTTTATGAACAGTCGGTGTTATTGCAGACTGTGTGTAATAAGGTTAAAAAAGTCATATTAAAATAATAGAATAATAACAGTTACTAATAAAATATAAAACAAATACAAACTATGAGACACTCTAATTTAAAATAATTAAATCTAAAATCAGATTAAATTTAGTTCACATTAAAAACAGCAAATTGACAGTGAGAAGCTAAAATTGTCATAAGACGACGACAAATCAATTCTCATTAAAAATTAAAAGTTGTGTCGGAATAACCAATATGAAAATGGTTAATAATTAGAAAAGTAATATGAACATGAATGACAAATAGAAATAAAAATAAATAGATAAATAAATATAAGCAATAAAAAATAAATGTATAAATAATTGGCAAATACATAGCCAACATATGAAAAGCAGTAAAATAAGGATAACTGGGCGAGAAAGCAATTCAACGAAGACAAAAAAAAGGAATTAATCATATGGAAAAGTATAACAGTCGTAAACAGTAACAAAATTAGCATTTCGATTGATTTAAATTAACAACGATAAAGGTATAAATTAAAGTTGCTAACAGAAAACAGTAAAAAATCAAAAAATACAAGTGTGTGAAGTAAAAATAAACAAAAAATACAATTAGCACCAATTTTTTCTCAATTATTTTTTCATTTTTTTCTATTTTTTCTTTTTTTTTCTATTTTTTTCATATTTTTTTATTTTTTCTGTTTTTTTATTCCTTTTTTTTAATTTTTTCTATTTCTTCATTTTTTTCTATTCTTTTATTTTTTTTTTTGTTCTTTTATTTTTCTTTTTTTTTCATTTTTATTTTTTTTTAGTCTTTAATTTTTTATCTTTTGTTTTTTATATTTTTCCTTTTTTTTAATTTTTTTTTTTTTTGGAAATTTAATCACATAAACAATTAAAAAACAAAGTGAATTTAACAAAAACAAATCCCAAAATTAGTAAACAACAAAGGCAAAAAATTTTAATCAAACAATGCATTTTAAAATTAATACAAAAAAAACATTCTATCATTAAAGTGTTGAAAAAAAAAAAAAACGAAAAAAGAAAACATTAAAAAAAGTTGGGCGATCAAGAAAAACAAACTTTCTCAGTATTGATTTTAGAGATGAAACTATTTGAGACTATGCTTCATTTACAATTATGCAAAAGCAAAGCGTGAAAAGTTTGATCGCTCAACATTTTAACACTTAATAACAAACCAGTTTTAATATAACATAAAATTGAAAAAAAAAAAACTGGAGTAAGTAATTCATAAGTTACTTACGCACGGATGAGATTTCGAAACGAGAGCGAGGTGGAAACGGCGGAAACTGCATTAGATGACTTTTGCCAACGGTTATGGGTAAAAATCACAGTGCACCTGAAAACACTGGAAGATTGATCTAGAGGAAATGAGTTAATTATATAATATAATTTGAAAACAAAGAAATCATTTCATTTATCAGGGATAAAGTAGCGCTTGGCGTCTTCGATTCTACCCACTAGCTCGAGCTTCCGTCCTTTGGCAGTCCTTTCGTAGACTACAACCTTAGTCACTTTAGGGCACCATTCCATAGAATGAAACTCCATAACAGCCTCGATCACTTCAGTAGAGGCTGCATGCGGCATTTTAACAAAATGGTTGCATTTTTGACAAAAACCTGAAATACAAATATTGAAAATAATAACTTCAATTACTGCAGCAAATAATACAATTCAATCCAAAGTTAAATTCACCATTCTGCCTAAGAGTTCTGCTGGCATGAATCCGCCATCCTTTCAACGTCCCAAATTCTTTCTGGCAAAAGCCACATCCTAAAAATATTTCAGTTTTAAAATTCTTATTAAGAGATTCCAGATTTATTTAAAAGCATAACAAATGTTATAGAATACTGCATTAATGCGAATTATTATTTTTTTCTTAAATTTACCGATTGCAGTCGACCCATCAACCTTCTTTGTCACCATGTATGGGTCGATTTCTGGAGCAGCCAGCGCTCGTCGGTAATGTGCCGGTAAAGCCTCCAGTGATGGCACTTGGAAGACTGCCGGGCCTGCTGGTACTTCGTTGTTTCTGTCCTGCTCCAGCATTGGGACTCTTATAGTCCGAGATCGTCTGAAACACACTTGCAATCAAGGATTTCGATGACAAGAATATTCTTTCATGTTTAAATTTAGGATATTACATTGCACTACAAACACTCTTTGTCACATTTGCATAATTGAAAATGACTGTTTCGATTTCTCTGCGATCTGAGACTGTTGCCGGTGGTGCCACATTGATAACTTCCTCGTTGAGGAATGGCTCACTCACCACCACCTCCATCTCCTCTTCCAAATTGCCATCATCATCAACCAGTGATGGCACTGATTTTTCTTGCCAAGTTTCCACTTGATTGCGCTCGAGGAGATGGAGCGTAACTTGTTCTTCATGAGTTTGTCGCTCATTTCTTTCCATTTTCGCTCTCAACTCGTTAATCTAAAAAAGATGTAGCTAGATATCATTAATGAAGGGACTGAAACTAACTTTACATCTATGAGGTAAGTACCAATGAAGTTCAAAGCAAGGAATAACATTTCATTCCCTTAGTTCATACTTATTCCTCTAATCTCCTTCATAAATTCAGAAAGTATTACCTATTTTAAGCTGTATGTCATAAATGACAAATAAATTTAAAATCAAAAATGGACATACTAAATTTGCCGCATTGTGCAGGTAATTTTCCAACACTTGGAAATATAACGGCTCCGTGCGTAAGTAATTCTTCAGATCTGCCAGCGTTAGCAAAGATGGTCCTCGTACTTTGCAGGATTCCATTTTTTTTTTTTTTGCGCTGAAAAGAAAAAATGCATTTAAATTGCAAGAAGAAAATATGGAGCTATCATAACACATAAGACATTAAAATGAAAGACTCTGTCTGACATGAAGTATCATTAATATTAATACTATGAGCATTAATATATATCCCTTTGATCAGTAAGTTACTTACTTCCCAGCAACGAACAATCTTTAAGCTTCCATAATATACTCTATAAGATACACGTAGATAACTATCTCTAATGGTATGTCAATGGATCACTTTATCTGATAGTGTATAATCATTAAGCAAGAAGAAAGAGAGTGCAAAGTCAATCTGAGAATCAATGAAAGTTATTCGTTCATTCACTCTTTTCATATTAAAAACAAGATTTAATTTTAGGTTTAAATTATTCTTGATATTAATAGGAATTTTCTGTAGAAATGATAATTTCAGAGTTTAGAACAGTGGACTTATTCAGCTCACGGTGTGATAATTTGGTGTTGGATTAATTCTAGGTAATGATGCTTATGTCTAGTTAATTAATTGATTGTTCTTTTTTCACCGAACTGATAGATTTATTTTCTTATATGTTCCTAAATTCTTATTTTCAACATTGAATTCAATAGTTTTGTTGCAAGATTTGCATGCCAGTAAGCTTTCTCGCAATATCTCTCAATTTTCCATGAATATTTTAGGATATTCAAAGAATGTTATCAAAATAATTCAAAAATTATTACATCTAAAGACTGTCTTCAAACATAATCTATGCAAGGTGCATATCATCAAAATAAACGCTGCAGTAATTTTGCAGAATGATAAATTCAAGATTTCGAATCTTTATATTTAATCGATAATACTAAGCAGAATATTTATGTGTACAGTAATGTGACGAGATCCGATACATTTTTTGCCCTAAAGGATAATTTTATTTTAATAAAATTAAAGGAAGACCTATTAAAGTAACTCCTTTCTTTTCTTACGAAATAGATAACTTTTATTTGTGTGAAATTATCATGTTAGTTACATAATTAAAAGTAGTAGCAGTTTTAAAGAATGAGTAGGATCACAAATGTCGCACAACGATGCTACCTAAAAATACTACTTTTTGAGTTTTATTTGAATTGTTCTTAAAATCTTTTGAATTTGTAAGATCTTTAGATAATATCTTTGTGTGACAAATTGATTTCAATTATATTTTATCAAAATCCAGTACTGAACAGTTTCAAACAGATTTTGAGAAATATCGAGAATGATATAACTTGTAAATATTTACTGCTTGAAGTAAGAAACTGCTTTATAGCTTTTAACCCTTACACTTTAATTTAAAAATATTACATCGTCAGTCATTCTAATCACTATTCTACTAATGCTTATGACAATTAATTTCGCATTTTTGGCATATTTCATGTTTATGAAAGGAGGAGAATTGGCGTAACTTTTTCGTAACACTAAACATTCAAGTTTAATATTCAGGTCACGTGCACACGCGTGCACCAGAGATAAAAATAATATTATAATTTTATCGAATAAAAAAGTATATTGCAGTTGCTACACTATATATATCATGACAGATGTGAACAATACAAAATTAGCAATGTGAAAAAAAAAAGTGTGTCGAGATTTAATTGATAACTGATTCGAGAAATCGTTGATGACCTTTTTCAACAGATACAGAAGCTAATTCACTTTCTCATTCTTCTGAAACCGACAATGTGATCACATGCTATGCCCCATTCTGGTTCACCGGTTAAATTGGTTAATGATTTCCCCTTCAAAATTCTCTTCTTTCATTTTCCCACCGTATAAACACATGCACCGTCGTTAATTCCGTTCACCCTTTTGCGTCATTTAAAGCTATGGTGCAAGTTGGACAAAACCGCCGAGGTGCAACGACCACTCTGTGCTTAATTTGAATTCCATTTGAAAATGTGGGCACTGTTACAGCGATATGATGTGCAAATGCCACTTTCACTGATTGTTTTCCTTTTCCTTTCAATTTCCGGAAACAACCCAACTATTTTGCAGTCTTTCTGGTGTGACTGCAAATTATTTGGGTTGCTTCTGGTCATTATTGCCCGAATTGGTCGATGTGGCAATCAAAGTGGAATTAAGGTTTGTTTGATTAAATAGCTTTTGGACAAAAAGTTAAATCTAATATTAATAAATCTAATGTTTACAGTTCTTGAAAGTGTAATTTCGGATGACACCTATAAAAGTGTTTTGTGATGACAGTCGGTATGTATTTATATCAATATGTATTTTAAAGGAATGTTGGATTTGCATTTTTTTCAGTTCAGGAACTCTTTGAAGACTGACATTTCAAGCAGACTCACAATGCTATCATTATTTTCTCTATTCTCATCTCTCAAAGTATGTTCTCATTTTTTCAGTTTATATTTTCTTACAGTTTTCTTCATTTCTTCATAGTATTAAAAGATAATTGAAATATAAGTGAAATGGGCAGAAGAAAGGAAGGTTAGGCCTAGATAACATTAATTGATGTCTTTGGTTCTTATAACCTATTTGATCTGAGTTCTCAACGTCAAGTTACAACCGGAAATATAGTGTAGCCATATCTGAACTCATCCGGAAGTATAAGCGAAACATTTCGCATAGATAATGAAGCACTTAAATATATATTTATTAGCAATTTCTTTTGAAAATCCTTCTTTTGACAAATTTGCTTTAATTGAGGGCAAATAACATATCACAGATGATAAAACCTAACGAAGTTTCCATTTCAAGTCAAAATGAAACTTAGCAATTATTAATCACTATCATTTGAGTATCGTTGATATTATCGAGAGTGACCTGCATTTTCACAGGCACTTGGACTTGGAAAAGTATAAACTGGCTTACAAAATAATTCCACTTTATCATTTTTTCACACCTATTTTTAATTCTTTAAATGTTTTTGCGAACTCGACACGCTATTCGATAGGTTAATTTTAGAAATGTTTGGTCAGAAATTGTAATGTGACATTATAATTTCCACTCTTATAATTTTCCATTTCCCACCAAACTGTTTGATACAATAATTATAAATGTGTGATTTTTAAAACATTGCTTTCAGTGCAATTACTTTGACGTATAAAAGTGACAGTTATTTGAGATTGCGCAATTTCTAGCGGATCGCTTGCATAATTTAAGCCAATTGTTTTTACGTGAATCAGTCAACTGATCATGTTATGATACCGCTGTAAAGTTTGAGAAGATTTTAAAGAAATGCTGAAAATTACAAAGTGGTTTTTCAATCATTTATAATTTAAGTACTTAAGAATTCTTGAAATGCTGCAATATTTCTTAAACTAAATCACTAGAAGTTAATAAATAATTGATAAAAATTAGGGCAAGTCTGAACATCATTAAAAGATTGACTTATTTTGTTTTCCAGAATTTAGGAACCGAAATTATGAATATTTCTTTTATCATCACATACGTTTCGGAAAATATTAGATTAAATATTTGTGAGATAACACCACTGTCTGAAAAATTATCAGAATGGACAGTTTTGTAGGTTGTTTTCTCGTAACTTTATTATGTCACAGAAAGTTATAAATTTGCTTTTCTTTTTTTTAAATGAAATTTCAAAATTCATAAAAGTAATATTTTAATTAGCATTTTGAATACAAACTCTATTTTCATTTCGTAAACAAAGTGATTGAGGAAGAGCAACTCCTGGAAGCGATAAATAATATGAAGAGCTTAATTTCTATGTATAAAAAAGGTTAGCATTAATATCATTTTCTCGTAATATTACTTTATCTGCAATTCATACAATTTATTTTCACAAAATTTTAAACACTAATAAACTTATTCCAATATTTTCCATAAAACATAAATGCAATCTCTTCTGCCACTTATAAACTGAATTTAATATTAAAAAAAAACATGACGGTAGCGATGACAGCTCTTAAAAAATAAATGATATGACTAATAATTAGGTTGCAATGAATAAGCTGAAGCGATTTTTTCATTTTCATTAGTTTAGATATTTAAAAAACACTTTAGTATTTCTATGCCTTTTAATATTTTCTAGTGGTTTCGGAAGGAATAAATACAAATCAAAAACTGTTTCTAACATTTCAGGCTTTATACCACATAATTTCACCCATATTTTCTACCTTTTATCCAACAATAATTTTTTATGATTGCAAATAGCTTTTATTTGAAATGCAATGATGATTCACAGATTATTTTAAACTTTATTCCTGCTGCTTTATTTGCCCAATGTCGACGATACCCGTAGCTATAGCATATCGAACGACTAAATCAGCCACATGGCTGTAATGTGAGTAATAGGACATGCAACCGTAACGTTGTTTCCGGACAATACTTGCTGTTTCCAACAACCCAACCTGAAATTTAGATAGAGCGTTTGGGAAAAAAGAAATATTCCCTGGAAATTTCCGAGATTAAATTATTCAAAAAAACAGGAATTCTTAAAATTTTGTGTGAATTATTCCTTTTATAAATAATAAAATTATTCCACGCATATTAAATTCATTAATGACAAAATTCTTTCAACATTTTGACGTTTGGTAACATAACAAAAACATAGCAAAAAAGTTAATTTTAATGAATGAAAGTGAATTTAACTGTGAAATTTGAGCAATATGAACATCCATACAGCAGTTTTAATAATCTAACAAATGTAAACATTATCTAACAAATGTAAACATTATTATCATTTAACTATAATTATACCTTTTTCTCAGCAGTCACTCGATCCAAGACAATGTCAAGAATAGCATAAGTACCAGAACGATGAACGCCTGTAGGACATAAAAGACATACTGGTCCCATATTGCCATTTTTCATCATTTTTGTTTCCCATCTTTTAACATGAAAAATTTTTATTTCTGAATTAGCCAGCCTTACGAGTAACAAAAACATAAACAATTAAGAATTGTATTTTTCTTCTTTTTTTTGATGAATTGGAAAATATATTATTAGCATTCTTAAATTGATGATAAGTAATAATTTGGTCTCCTAATTTTCTATTATTATTTTCAGTCAAAATTAATTTAACATCAAAATAATTGTATTACTTTTTTGATAGTTTGAGTTCTGTTCAATTTTTAGTAGAAAAGAAATAAAGTGAATATAATCGTACTTATAATATTGAAGAGAAAAGAACTACTGACCTCGGATCGAAATTCTAATAAATTATCTGGAATAATCTTATCATATATCCATTTTCGATATTGTAACATTGTTACTGTGATTGTATTCATAGATTTGTCGACAATATTGCTAATCGAAAATTTGTACCAATCGTACAATGCAGTCTGTTTTTAAGTCAAAATTATTGATTTTAGGAGAAGTTAAATTTACACTTTTGTTTTCAATTTAAAATAGTTACAGTTTTTGTCAATAAATACATTTGTATTTTATTTTCAATAAATTATTTCATTAGTTTAATTATTTCTTCTTAGTTCAGTGTTTTCAATAGTATCACCGATAAGCATGAATATAATAACAATGTATTAGTGTCATATCCGTCTAGAATAATGATTTTTGGTAGTATCTCTTAAACACATTATTTCTTGTATCATTTCATTGATATGAATTGTTGAATTAAAAATTATAAATGAAACTTACAGCATCGCTCTTTGTATAATTTACTTTGATATTAGCTTCTGTGTAATTACGGGAATTTGCATTTGATTCTGGCCAAAAATGCTTGATTAGACGATTTCCTTCTCGATTATTAACATCCGTTAAGAGAACGATTAGTTTTGTATTTGTTTGAATTATCATTCGCCAAAAATCAGATTCGGTCGCTTCATCAAATGGTGCTTGTGCAAGTATAAAACCGTCTGTAAATTTTAATTTAATAAATTCAATATAAAATTTTACGTGCAAAATTGGCTTTCGGTTTAAATGTAAAGCAGCAAATGAAGAAGTAACGGAGTGAATCATCGTTTGAAAGCTTTATGACAAATAGATGAATGCTAGTTAGTTTAATTTTCATGATAAGCAAATGTTATAGCAAATAATAACTAAACCTGGTCGGTCGTATGAATCAACATATGATGCATGATAATAATCGTCACCCAATTTGTCACCAAGTAGTTTAACACGTGATCGATCATATAAAATTACATTTGGATAACGATTTTTTAACATATTTGCTTTTTCCAAAAATGCATCAAACTTTGGCGGCTCTCTAAGGATTATATTATGCCATTCGACAATTGTCTGAATTTAATCGTAAATTAATTAATTAACAACGATTGACAAAACTATTAATACTGTTGCAACGAACATCTAAGACGGTAAATCCATGATGGAATATGCGATTTTCAAGGGGAAATTTTCTAAAGATATTACCATATGTTATTAGCAATAGCTGAGAATCATCTTTTAAAAAGCTTTAAGACAATGTTAGCTTCCTTACTTATTATCATATCAATTAAATAGATAAAAATTTGGAATTCAACAAATCGTAAGAAAATTTCAAAACTAAAAGCTAAGATTTTTTCATTTTTCACCCAGTTTTCTTATTTCCAACCATAATATTATGTAATTTAATAATCAGGAAATTAGTGTAGATAATTGGACTAAACGCTTAGTGCTTTATTAATTAATTGGGTTAGTGGATTTAATAAAATTATATTTTTACTTTTTTTTCGATTAGCCAACTTAAATGATTAATTAAAATGACCATTACCTCTTCACCACCTTTTGCAATTTTATCAACAACTTCTTGAGGTGTTGCTGAATGTCTGTCATCCTTCTCGTAATCAGTAACATCTGAAACATTTTCGTAACCCAGTTTTGCACTCATTTTTTCTTGAAACAAAGCTGACAACCGACTTCAGATGTATTTCTGTATTTCAATGATATATGCTAAAATTCTAAACAATTTAAAAAGCTTTCCGCAATTCTTTCTGAACAAATATATACAAATAATTTAAGCATTAATTTAAATTAACAAGCCACCAGTGATCACACATTTATTTCCTTGCACGAAAGTACAAAAGCATAACAAACTATAATGGCAGACTTTTTCAACAAATTTCATCTTGATATTTTCATCCCACCATACTTTTAACAAAGTTTGACAGTTTTCTCATTCAACTAAATTTTTTAAACTGATGACATATAGAAAATATGATCGACATGTCAACCAAATAATGATGTTTATCTTTTAAAAGGAAATGATTGAAAACTATTTCAAATAAATAATTCATTTTCCGTTAATCGTTACATATTATCATATCCGTATACATTATATCTTTTTTTTTAACTTTAATTTTTTGTATTTTAATCCAAAATGTTTTCCATTTCTCATTCCATTTGATCCCTTGTCCGCATCACTTGTAATTTAATTTTTTTATTGTCGTTTTGTACGACCACCGCCTCAACGAAAAACAATATGCGAGGGAATATTCTAACAAGAAAATTTTGTCTCTGACGTAAAAAAATATCTCATAAATATTAGGAGTAGGAATGTTAACTAAGTGTGAAATCTTTTCGTCATTAGTTTATCTCACCGAAACTCGAGAACGCTTTATATTCACAAATATTTCATGATAGAAATGTGAAATGAAAATTGAAATAAAGAAAAAGGACGAAAGAAAATAATATGAATCATTTATCGCAAATTTCAGTGACTTTTAAAAACTGAAATCGCTTTAAAATTCTATAAAAAAAATTTAAAAAAAAAAACGCAGTTAATGGCATGCATATACTTTCTATAACTGATAAGTGATAAATATAAGACAGAAATTGAAGACATTATTTCGACTCGTTTACCCACCCAAACCTTCAAAAAATATCAAAACCATAGCAATTCTAAAGCTGATTTCCTGATAAAAACAAATTTGTGATAGAAGCAAAACGACAACAATAAACAAATAATTTCTCAATTTTTTCTTTTAATATCTTTTTAGCATTTACTAGAAAAGAAAACAAAAAAATTTACTATTTTCTAGTAATAATTTTAGAATAAATTAGAATCTGAAAAATTTAAATTATTGTCTGAAGGAAAGAAAGTGGAATAACTGATCATTTAAAGGCATTCAAGAAAATACAAATGTCCATTCGAACTAGGATTTGAATTCTAAAATTCATAATTTGGTGACATAATATGACGTTGTTTTCCTTTTCAAAGAAATTTTTAAGTATTCCAAAGACATAAAAAAGTATAAAATAAAGTTTTCAAAAAAATTCTCAAATTTTCGTTCTGTCATATTCCTAACAAAGTTTAATAGTTTTCTATTCAACAAAAATCTTGGAATATACGATCGATAGGCTAATGACAAAACAATAATATTTATTTTTAAGGAAATATTTTATAATCTTTTCAAATAGATATTTCATTTTTTGTTAATCGTTAACATTCGTTACATCTGTATACTTTACATTTTTAAGTTTTTCTTTTTTAATTCCGATTTTTATGTTTTCATTTTCGTCAGCTGAAAACTCTATTACTTCTCCTTTCCATTTTCAAGATCACAAGACATTTTGAATAATTTGTTTTATCATCCTAAATTAGTTTATCCTTGAATGGTTGCTGCTTTAGCATACATTTCGACCACCACTTCAAGTAATCAAATGCAATTGTAATTTACCTTCGTTTATTTATTAATACATTTAAATGTTAAAATATTTTGTTCACTTAAATATTTTTCTATTATTCTACTGAAATATCACTAGTATAATCTGTAATTTCTTATCAGTAATTAAACATCCTTCAAGCATTAGTATGACAGGTAGTTTCCTCTTCATTTAATTCTCGTTTTCGAATTAGATGCAATATCGGATATGTTTGTTTAGTTGCGTTTACTTCAGTGAAACGATTATGATTTAATTTTGAATCAGATAACATCACATTTTCGTTGATCTTTGTTAGCACTTTTTCTAAATCCTTTTGTAAGACCTGAAAATCGAAAAATATATAATCATTGATAGAAATTGAATACATGAAAAATAAAAAATAAATCCAATCCTTTTCTTTTTAAATTTCATTTCAGTCCTTTCCGTTTTGGAGATTTTTGAAATTAAATCTATTTTAATCATTTATAAGCTTAATTTCTAGAAGATCCTCTTTAACTATAATAAAAATTAGTCTTTGCGCTATTTATAAATCATAGAATTATAATTTTCAGCATTTATTATATTTTATATGGATGATAATAATTATTTATTTACTGAAATTATTGATTAGATTTGTGATCAGAAACTGAAATTCTCAGATTTCTAATCAAAGCATTTTTCTTTTGTGAAATTCTCTAATAAAAGCAAAGATTCAAAATATTTAAAAATATCATGACCTTAATGTTTTCAGATATAATTTGAAGCTCAAACACAATTTTCAGGCTGAGCAAAACGACTACAAGCAGTGCACCAATAATGTTCAAAATAAGGAAAGTAATTGAAGCATATCTAAAAAAACCTTTTTTTTTTTCTTCAAATATCACTCATTAAATACATATTATTAAAGTAGAATTGATGAATTGTCAATTATAACTAATCTAATGAATACATAAATATATCATTTAGTAAATAACACAACAAAAAAGTGATAGACCAATTAAAAATTTGTAAAGATAAATTATTTGATGGATAAATGGGAAAGAGGGAGGCAGGGAAATAATTAATTAATTAATTAATATGGAGAGCATTTTTTGTAAGTATTAAAAATGATGATGTAAATAACGTACAAAATTGCATCAGCGTTATGTTTAATAAAAATGCATAGCCGTTTAGTTTCTTGACAAATTTGCTTGGAAATATTATTCAATAAATCATAGGCATTCTTCATTGGCGTTTTTGTTTTAACCGTATTAAAATCATTATTTACTAAAAAAAACTTTTTTAAGAATATAAAAAAACTTCAAGAAAATCCGAGAATTGAAAATTTGAGTTTTTCAAACAATACTAGTTCTTCGTTATTTAGTTAATAGATTAATGAAGTATTGAGCGACATTAAGATCATTTGAAATTAGTTTTAGATCATAACTAATTAATATCAGTAAATTAAAAAAAAAAAAAATTACGGCTTAAGAAAGGATTATAACTGCACTGCAAACTGTGATTTGCATAAATTTTATATTTATGTTCATGTCTTGTTTGCTTGCTCTGAAAAGAATTAACTTTCTCTCAGTATTACTTCAATGTTAGTTTTTTTTTCCCTGAGAGAGAGAGAAAGGGAAAGAAAGAAGCGAGAGAGAAAGGGAAGAAAGAAGCGAGAATAAGGATAACATTTTCCGTAATCTTTCAAGAAGAAAATTCGATTAAATGTAATTGTCTCTTGATTTTTTAATTGGCTTATTAAAACCGAATCACTTCTAAAATAACTTGAAACGATCGTTTTTAGATTCAGATTATTTTAAATTTTTTTTAAAAAGACAAATACCAACATCTTTAGCCTGTCCACTAATACTAGCTTGAAAGATAAATATCATTGTGATAATAAGTTTTAAACCTGAAAAAACTTAATTTCGAAGCAATGATTTGAGTAAATAAATTAGAGATTTGGATCAATGTAGGAGCAATAATGATGCAAAGTATCTAATGATCTGATTACCAGTCATTTTAGATAACAGTTAGGAGAAGCAGCCGCACTATGAGAAGTAAATTAGCTCAAATTAAAAGAATTTCTTAAGTTATATTAAGAAAAAGCCGATAAATTATAAAAAAAAGAATTGAAACTGAAATTTAAATTAAAATGTTTTCACTGCCGAACAATCTTGCCAATTATCTTATATCTTTTTTAACTATCCCAATTAACTTAAGGATTCGATGATAACTTCAGGATTGGATGATGACAATATTGAATTTTGATCTTGCATCAATTAAACCGCCCTTCTTGAGGAATTATTATAGAAATTGTAGATAAAATCATTAGCGGATCTGTAGATACATTTATAGATTCATTAGAGATTTCATAGATATTTTTTTTAAAAGCTTTTTCATTTTAACTCTAAAATTACTATTATAAGAAAATCACTGAATTTTCTATCACATATACATACACATTTAATAACATTAAATGGAAGCAAAAATAACTGCTCAAATATCTTTTTTCTTCACGTTTACTTACTTTCATTATTTCATATTAAAGTAATCATTCATAAAAAACAATATTATATTTTAATTTTTAGTTATTATTCCGTGTCTCGTTTTATTCTTCCAACAAAAGATTTACCTTTTCATTTGATCAATAAAGAAGACATGTCTAGGATTGTAATGCAGATTTAAACAAGATTTAATAGCTTGCAATAGGCTTTCCTATTAACTAAATCCATTTTTTATAAGTAATTTTGATTTCATTAATTACTAATTAAATTTTTGCAAAGCTAGAAAGATTGTATAAATAAAAAAAGAAACGAAAAAAGGGAAAATTCTAATATGAACTTTTTAATGATTAATTTTAGTAAGTGGAAAATTTTATGATATTAACACTACAAATGCACAATTGACGGTTACTCTGCCAATGGCTTTTTTGTCGCATAAAGAATTTTGAAATTCAGAGTTTATTTGGATAGCTCTGAAGATCTTCAGCAAAGTTTACAACAGTTAATTTCTCACTTCCAGCAAAGCTCATTTTTATGAAAGGAGAAGTACTGGGCAATGCCTCACATCACTAAACTTAACATTTGGCCAGGTGATAAAGAAATAGTAACAATTGCAGCATAAATGATGACAAATCAGAATCCTTCTATCATTCATTGAGTCATTTGTCATTAACAAAATCTGGGAAATTAAAAAAGTAGCGAAATAACAACGGAAATGGTAAAGTAAAGAAAATCCTTAAAGAATTTTGACAAAACTGTGAAATAACCTTATGATTTATAAAAATATTGCTTTTCTACATGAATTGGACAATGAATTGTTTAATGTCTTTACGAGATGCACGAGCAAAACGTTAAGATTAGGACGGTGAAGTTTACTTTGTATGACAGCCGTGAACAATACAAAATTAGCAATATGAAAAAAAAAAGTGTGTCGAGATTTAATTGATAACTGATTCGAGAAATCGTTGATGACCTTTTTCAACAGATACAGAAGCTAATTCACTTTCTCATTCTTCTGAAACCGACAATGTGATCACATGCTATGCCCCATTCTGGTTCACCGGTTAAATTGGTTAATGATTTCCCCTTCAAAATTCTCTTCTTTCATTTTCCCACCGTATAACACATGCACCGTCGTTAATTCCGTTCACCCTTTTGCGTCATTTAAAGCTATGGTGCAAGTTGGACAAAACCGCCGAGGTGCAACGACCACTCTGTGCTTAATTTGAATTCCATTTGAAAATGTGGGCACTGTTACAGCGATATGATGTGCAAATGCCACTTTCACTTATTACTTCCCTTTTCCTTTCAATTTCCGGAAACAACCCAACTATTTTGCAGTCTTTCTGGTGTGACTGCAAATTATTTGGGTTGCTTCTGGTCATTATTGCCCGAATTGGTCGATGTGGCAATCAAAGTGGAATTAAGGTTTGTTTGATTAAATAGGTTTTGGACAAGAAGTTAAATCTAATATTAATAAATCTAATGTTTACAGTTCTTGAAAGTGTAATTTCGGATGACACCTATAAAAGTGTTTTGTGATGACAGTCGGTATGTATTTATATCAATATGTATTTTAAAGGAATGTTGGATTTGCATTTTTTCAGTTCAGGAACTCTTTGAAGACTGACATTTCAAGCAGACTCACAATGCTATCATTATTTTCTCTTTTCTCATCTCTCAAAGTATGTTCTCATTTTTTCAGTTTATATTTTCTTACAGTTTTCTTCATTTCTTCATAGTATTAAAAGATAATTGAAATACAAATGAAATGGGCAGAAGAAAGGAAGGTTAGGCCTAGATAACATTAATTGATGTCTTTGGTTCTTATAACCTATTTGATCTGAGTTCTCCACGTCAAGTTACAACCGGAAATATAGTGTAGCCATATCTGAACTCATCCGGAAGTATAAGCGAAACATTTCGCATAGATAATGAAGCATTGAAAATATTATTGGCATACGGTAATGCATTAATGATAACTTTTTATTTGAAAATTTTTGAGAATTTTTCTCTTTTCATTCGATCATTATTATTATTTTGACACATGAAGGTGATTTTTTTTTCATTTGAGACTACTTAACTTTTCTACAAAGAACTATCGGTTTCATCACATAAGACATTCTCATTCATATGCATTTCCTAGGCTGGTCAAATTCACTATAGTGGACAATTCTTCAGATTTGACTTAATGGTTGACATAAATGAGTGACAAAGTGATTCAAGTGAAATGCATTGAATATAAGCGAATTTATTTCGAAACTCTTTTCAACATTTTACAGAAATATTTCATCGATTTAATCGTAATAAAAGATTACTCTTGCATTTTATACATTATTCGATTTTTGATAACATCTATGAAAAATATTTTACATATATAGCTAATAAATAAAGCTGGTGTATATAGTTATCAGATGTATCGTTTTTATCATCATTTCAAGTTTGCAAAAAAAAAAAAAGAAGGAAAAGCTATCATTGATGTTTGAATCATGTCAAGAAGTAAATGCTCTAAAGTTGTTCATATACGCTGTCTTTCTCCGGTAACTTATTTTGTTAGACGTGGGATAGATTTTACAACATTATTTCTCAAACGTGAACATAGATATTTACGAGCACGTTCGTTCGTTAAGAAAAAAGCTGTTGGCAATGTACAACGATATAAAAGGATATATGAGCAATGGGAAATGTTTATTGGTAATAAAGCTTTTTGATCAAAAATCTGTATCAAAATCTTTGACAGAAAGCCGAATGATATGGCTCCAATTATTAATCCACCAGAAGTTAATGCTGCTTGAATTAACATTGATCGTTCGTATTTGGTAATTTCCAACGTATTCGTTCCATATTTATCGTTCGTATTTGGTAATTCCCAACGTATTCGTCCCATAATTAAAGAATAATTGCAAAAGGTTTTAAAATTCCCATATTTAATTCGAAATAAGCAATAAACTAAGACTTAGTAATACTCAAATAAATTTTACAAAATCCAGTAAATTTAAAATAGCTAAAATTTGTTCCCAGTATAATAAAGAAATGGAAAAGTTTAGGTCATATGATAAGCTTATGTGATAAGGAAGAATTCGATTTGTTATCACCAACTTTGTGTTTCGTTATTAATTGATGCAAAACGATGGCGTATATTGCGAATGATTGCTGAGTACATTGCAAGCATTGTAACAGATAGAAATATTGCCCAAATTTTGATAAAACTGAAAACCGATTGGAAATTATTAGTAAGTTTCAATCAACCTTGCACACATCATTGTGAAATAGGAATTACAATGTTCATTTTAATTAATTTCATGTTATAGTTATATCAAAAGAGATAAATGTTTTAATTATATTGCTTGAAATGTTGTAAAGTTTTAATATTTGATTAAATTGAAACTGGATTTAAAAATTTTCGACTTCAAAATTAAAACAGTGCTTTAATCTGACTTAAAGATAATTTTTACATGAATGATAAAAATTTTAAATTTAATCTGACTTAAAAAAAAGTTTTCCACCAGATTGTTTTGTGCAATCATGCACCCAATATAAGGTTGAAACTTCGAAATTTCTCGTGCAGTAATAAAAATTTGCAGATGAAATTGCTAGAAATTTGCAAATTTAATATAAATAAACAGATCATTAATCTGCAATTTGTTTATAATTGTTTATAATTGTCAGATTAAGCATTATTCAAAATGGCAATAAAAGTAACAGCCGTTAAAACTGGACAAAACTGAGCAGTCATCAGTCTCCATGTCTGTTTAAGAATGAATGAAATAATTTAGGACATTGCGCAAAAGTTAAATGTCATACCGAAAGCTGTCAACCATACGAAGAGGAATAAGAAGTACAGCTTTCCTGATTCGAAAAATGCATTGAATTTCGGTAAAACTATGGCTACGAAGCGATTCAGCGACAACACAAATGAAAAGTGTAACATAACGAAAGATGAATAAACATAGATTGTGCAGGATGCGCGGTTGATCCATCTTGTTTTTAAAGCTAAGGCACAATCCATAATAATGGTTTGTTATTTAAATGAAAATCAGAATTCTAAAATAACATTAAAAATTAGATAAAAATTAGATGCATCGCTTCATCAACGATAAAATCGCCTCACCAATAAATTTATGAGTGTTGTTAAACAATTATGAAAATAAAGTAACTTACCATATTTTTTACTCAATAATATTTCAGGTAATAGGACAGTCAAATATGGAATAAAGCTTATCAAATTAGAAAAAATAATTTGGGATACAATAAGGATGAATGGGCGACTGTAATGATTGTCCCGATTGTAGCATACAGTAGCCATCAGAAGATTACCAATAATACCGTATAGCAAGAAGAAAGAAAGCACCGCAACTACTGTATATTTTATAGTTATGTGCTGCTCGTCTCTTATGTCAATTACATTTGTCGCATTTCCTTCGTGGCAGTTTAGAGGTGATATTAGAAATAATGCAACAATACAGTAATAACGAACAATCATATTATCAGTGAATAATCTTTCTCGTTGTTCTGAATTCGGAAATTGCTAGAAAGAGCATTGGCTTCAACTAATATTTTAAATGTCCAAAATGCGAACACTTTAAATTATTGTGAATTCTAATTTTAAAGTAAGAAATGAAATGACTAAATGGAAGCGAAAAAGGAAACATAATTGGAAGCAAGAATTTAACTACTGAATTAAGTGCTCACTTTTATGGCTGCTGTAATTCATTACTTCTTAATTTGAGATAATTACGATTGTAATTTAATCTATTCCATTAACTTTTGAAAAGATATGATATCTGAAGGTATCAGGGCTTGTTTTTTTTTTTTTCAGAAAAAAAATTTTGGTGCTGCAAGACTGAATGAAATGAAGTTTTTCTGAAAGGTTATAAGCAGTTTCTGCATTTCCTTGAAAATATCAGCAAGAGAAAAGGCAAATTTCTGAAAAACCACCGTGAGATAACTTATAAAAAAAGGAAAACAAATAGATTATTGATATACTTAAGCATTCCATGTGAGAACAATTAAGTACTAATATTAACTGAAATTCTTATTAAAGAGATAAATGCAATGTGAGAAAAATCTGTTATCAAAAGTTCGTTTTCTTAAAATTTATTTCTGGAATTCGATTTCAATACTTTGCATCATTTAAAATTTGATGCATTTTATTAGAAGCGCTTGTGAACAAGAACTCATTGTAATTTCATATTGATGTGAATATTTCTGTGAAATGAGATGAGTGAATGCACAGAGGCGGAATTTCTCAAAATGCATGAAAGATGATTAGGTCATTAGCATAAGATCATATGTTATTGCAAGTGATTCAATAGCTTGTATTGCTGACTACTTTAAAATCTTTACGACAAAAAGACAGTTGAATTTTTTGAACATTTTTTTTTTTGCTTTGGAATATATCACAAAAAATTACATTCGAAATAAATAAGTGATTATTAAACTCCTAAAAATACTAAAAATATTGTAGTCATAAAATCAAATTTTTATAAATCGCAAGAAAATAATTGTGCTAAAAAGTTAGTTAGTGAAAATTTCCTGAAGATATTGCTAGTAAAAGTGTCACACATCCATTATGGTTAGACGTAATATTGCTTAGTAAAAATATTGTAGTACTCATTTCAAATTTTATGCTAATAATTTGAATGAATTTGCAAGAAATTTCCTACAAAGAAAATATCCAAAATTCAAATTTTAATATGCAGAATATTATGTTACGAAAAGAATGAAAGCAGATTTGAGAGAATATAATGAAATTACCAACTAACTACGATGCATTAAATTTCTCTATTTAAATACACATATATTTAATTTTCCACAGTTTCACTTCAATTTCATGTCTTCATTACAATGATACATTCTCAGATCTTTCCTCTAAAAATGTAATCGCTGGCTGCGAAAATTCAGATACAGCGAGGCGATTCTCTGACTAAGGAACATTATATGAATTTATGGTAGAAAAAGAATAAGTAATTCATCTTTTCCTTTATTTCATAAATTTACTTCAAATGTATACTGTTAAACTTCGATAAAAAAAAAATTTGTAAGAGATATTTTAAAATTTTGCTAAAATACAAAAAGTAGTGAACTATCAAAGTTTTAAACATTGTACAATAATTACTACGCACTTTTCGGCAAGAAAACTTTCTAATAACCCGCTAACCCGATTTGGAAAGGATGTTGACAGAACACGAAGAGTGAAATGTCAGCAAGAAATGGAGAAGAGTCGGGTTGAAGAAGTAATAAAAATGGAGGGAGGAGGGGATTCGAACTTCACAAATCGAAATTTAAGGAAGAGGTAAAGTGGATCTTAGGCCTGAAAGTGATGATGAAGCTGAGTGGTTAGTAGTAGAGCGGTCCCTCCGCCAGGAAACAGTAGCAAAAGCTTTAGGACCGACTGCGTAAGTGGTTCAAGTATTACAGATTTTTAATACTTATTTCTCAGGATTTATTAATCACTGTTAGCTTTAGGTATAGGTAAGGCAATGACAGAATCAGTAGATTTTTGGAAAACCCTTGGAACTTTCATCTTTGATGCTTATATTAGCACATATGAGTTACAATACACATGTGATGGTGACACAGACAAGTCGTACATAAATTTAATATTTACAAGAATAAACCTATTTAGATGGAAATATTGTGATAATTTATTATATGATTAATTCTTTGTCAAAACTTTAGAATGCTCATCACTTTAATTATTATTCTTAATTAGTTTTTGTTCAGATTAATGTTAACTGTTATTGATTCGACAGTTTATTGCATGTCTCTGAACTTTTGTTTCTGAATTGAATTCAATACTTTCATTACAATTTTATTTACGTACAATCCCATAACTTTTTTGCAATATTCCTTCACTTTCCCTTGATATATTAGTACTACTCGAAGAATATTTGCAGTAATCTTTTCAAAATGATAGCTCAAAGGATTTCAAAATTTGCCGAAATATTTTATCGGTAACATTCATTAAAAGAATGCATGAAACTTCGGTTTCTTATAAAATATTTAGGTATTCAGTGATATATCAAGATCACGTATGATTTTGACCTGAAAGATATGCTTTTATTGTGACAATAATAAGGCCTAGTCTCTAGGAATAATTCATATAATACAGAGCGACTTCAATTTTCATCAAGGTAGATAAAAAGTTAACAATACACTGTATTGACAACAATAAAGTAAACATTTTTGGTAAAGATAATACTTCCCATTTCAGAACGATCATAATCAGAGAAGGAAATTAAGAGATGACAAATGAAATGGACAGTAGAAGATGATTTTGTTTATGTTGCCTTTTTTATTTTTTGTTTTTGTAATTACTGCAATTAAAACAACTTTGAAGTTGGAAAACAAGTTTTATATCAATCATTACTTTTTGGAATTATTCTTACTAAGTTAATTTACTGCTCGAAAATTCATGATTAGTCAATTATCTACAACAAAAGATTTGAAATGAAGTGAAATTCACCATATCACAGTAGTTGCTTTATGCAGAATTTTCAGATGTTTGGAATACTTATCACAAAGCAATAAAATATAAAGCAACAAATTTACCATCCATAAATCACCAATTTTGACGAAACACAATCGAAATCATTGTGATTTTTGTCACAATCGAAATCATTGTGATTTTTGTCAAATTAAGAAATACATGAATCGAATCATTCATTTTTTAGTTCATGTCATCTTTTACTGTCATTTACCTCTTTGAGAAGTGTAATAAATAGTAATCAAAATCTCTATGAAAATTTCAAAAAATTCAAGAGAATTTGACTTTATACATTTTTAGATCATTTAAACATTAAAAAACAATTGTTTTAACTACACTTAATTCACCAACTTATCCTAAAACAATAATCAAACTACATGTATTTCTTAATTTATCACAACAGATCTAAAAATATTTTCCTCATTTAAAAATTAAAATTGATAGTCATGTACTATAACGTATAACCTTAATATAAGTTTGAAGGAAACACTTGGATCAAATTCTGTCGCAAAAATATTGCCGGCACATTTAAACTGTGTACTTCGCTGTACAGTTGCTTCAATTCGAAAAGATTTTTCGATGGCTAAAAGGAAAATAAACTCTGAGAATTCAAAAATAAACTGAGGAATTGAAATGTTCATAAACGAAAAGATAAACATATTTGATTCCTTATTTCAATTCCTAAAAAAAGATACTTCTGATTACACATATAATCTTCATTCACTTCAAATAAAATTAGGCTGAGAGCTTACCTCAGAAACCACATCGGCTTGGATATCCAGAGTAGTACCTCCAAGAAGCTTTGAATATACCAAAGAGAAATATTTATCGAATTCATTCTAAAGCAACAAAAAATAATATTTGTTTTCCTCTAAACAATACTGTATGAGTTCCAATTATGAATGCCACTTGAAGGATAGAATTATGAAAATTTTCTCTTCGATTGCTTAATAAAATATAAAACTGACTTCAATTCAGACGACAGTACTCAAATTTCCACTGAGAATAAAGCATAAATTATGAGTAAAAATTTTAATTTTTCCACCTTTCTTCCAGGTGCAATCATAAATGGTGCAGTTTTTGCGACCACACCGTATGATGGTCTTGTAAAATCACTCGTCAGCTAAAAATAATACATTGTTAAGTTTAAAAAATTATATTTTGTAAACAGTTTTGAATCTATAAACCAACTTTACACATATCACAAAAGGCTTCCAGCTTATATTTTTTACGGCTTAATAATTATCTGTAAAGATATGACGCAAAAATTGAGTAGAACATTAGCAGATTTATTGCGAGCCTTTACAATCTTAAATCTTTGAACTTGAATCACCAGGAATCAAACGAAATTTCAGGCAAACACTCTACAATGCTCTTCTTAATACTTTGCAAAATTTGTTAATTGTAATTCTAACCACAAATTTCGAAAAAAAGGAAAAAAA